ATATTTTACAACCCTTTAGTCCTCTCGTTCCCTTTTTATATACCTTCCTTCCTTGGTAAGCAAAGCTTATATTCCATTCTTTTAAAAAATAGGAGTAGTTTATATTCTAATATCGTCTTAAACACAAAGCACATCCCATATATCCATTAAAAGAAGTTAGAATTACTATTTTAGTAATTTTTCTCTAATAAAAATAAAAAATTTTGAATTCTAATAACATAATATATAGATGAATATGATTTAAAAAATTTTTTAAAATTATTTTTTATTATACAACTTAAAAAAAATTAAAAATACTATTATTATCACAATTCCTGGGATGAGGGTGGGATTTTCCCAATTCCTCATTCTCGTTCCTTACATCTTTATCACACATGAAGCATTTTTTATTATTATTTTGGATCCCCGATCTCAATTTATCTCATCTCCATGCTGGCCACCATCCACATCAATAGTTATTAGGGTAAACAGCTCTAGTAGGAAGTCTTCTAAAAATCGAGGCTCACCTATAATCTATATTACACTAATGAAATTTATACCTAAGCTACCTAAACCTCTTGGGTGGGGTTACTATCACAATAATACTAAAGCCAACTCTATGGTAAAACAGAACATATGGTGTCGAACGGCCCACTTCGGCTTAGTGGCATTGAATCTTATATTAAAACTGTTCACTTCCAGTAAGTTGCACGTTCGACTCTCATGGAATCTCTTTTCCCTCTCCGCCAATTATCCTTGTAAATAATTACAAATTGTTTAAAAAAAAAAAAAACATGTGGTGTCGATTTTTGCCACTATAATTCAGATTCTCTTCAGCAAATAAGTAGGTGTTGGGTGGTGTCATTTATTTGGAATTTAGGCACACACATATGTAGCAGCTGGCTTGTGCTTGTCAATTACAAATTAGGAGTCTTTTATCTAAAATGACGATATTTTGAAATTTTAACCTATAAATAAAAAAATAAAACTAATCACAAACGAATAAAATTACCTTGTAATAATATGATTTTAAATAAAAATTGATTTTAATTAATTTTTAATTAAGAGTCTTAATTGACAAACATATTTTTCACATATATATAAATATAAAAAACACAAAAATGAAGCGTAAAAGTTTAGACTATTGATTCATCTTATCAAGAACAAAATCAAAGCCTATTTGACATGGTTTTATTATTATTATTATTATTATTATTATTATTATTATTATTATTTTCAAATATTTGTTGCAGAGAAATGGTATAATTTTTAAACCCTTGTAGCATTATTAATAAAACAACATTTTCCACAACAATTTTTTAAACTTAAAAAAGAAGAAGGAGCTTGTAAGTTAATTAAAAAAAAAAAAGCTTTGCTAAACCAAGCCCCCAAGAAGAGATTATTGTCAA